CCCAAACCCCCCCCATTGCACTGAGCCTCCCCAGCACTGCACGTGGAGCCCGTGTTTATCGGGATTGGTAAAACGACTCACAGTGGTGGCAGCTGGGGACAGTTGGAGACTGTTAATGAAGTTGGTTAATGAAAGAGACATTTAAGTTGGCCTGTGGTGTGTATGATGACGACAGGGAGCTGTGTGAAGGGAAGACTGACTCGGAATAACTACGGGGATCGGTGACAAAGAGGTCACCGAGAAGAAGGTAGGAGAGAGGCCAAGCAGCAGGTATCAGTTGCATGCTTTATCCGCTCAGTTTCGCAGCCAGCTGTTGGCAGAGAACTGGAATATTTTGTGTGCTGAGTTAATTATGTTCCAGATGCATATTAAAAGCTTAGACTTACCTCCTGTACCCCAGAGTGGTGGCACAACTCTGTGATAGGAGTGAAATTTGGGCTACAGTCCCAGAAAACTTTTCATACGGTTGCTGGCTGCACACCTATCCAGTTTCTCTGCACGTTATCACCTTACTTCCCCCATGGCTTTACCTCTGAAGTTCATGTAAAGTCCAGGAGGAAAAGGACTTTTGGGGTGTCAGACTTTTTCGGCCCTGAGTCTGAAAAGCGTTGCAAGCCTGTTGCAGCTCTGCCCAGTGTGACTGTGGGAGCTGCTTTCTCCGACTGCAGAACGGGTCTGAGGTTCATCTCTCCCTCAGGGCAGAGGAGGGAGATTTGGAAGCACAGGGTGAGCCTTCGACAGAAAGCGTCACGGAAAAACAAAGCTTGAAACCCGGTCCGGAGGGTCGCTCTTAGAGCTGTTTGTGGTGGTTAACGTCGCGTGCGATTCCCGGCTGCTGCGTTCTGTGCTGGGCAGACGCAGAGTTTGCTGTTTGTGTTTATACCGATAATTCTGACCCGGTAGTAAACGGGGAAGGTGTTTCAACTGCGTTTCTGGAACCCTACGGTTGTGTAAATAAGTTCTGATGGTGTTGTTTTCTCCTCGCAGGCGCCCGTTGAGGACGGCAGAGAGCAAAGTGACTCGCAGCTCCCCTTCTGCTGGCGTGTTGTCGGCCCGATTCACACGCGTGTCCCAGCGCTGCGCTATGAACAGAGGTGCTGGTCGAGGCAGAGGCTCGTATTTTACCCGGTCAAGACGTAACGGCCCCAGCACTAATCAAGGTGTTTTTAACCGCCCTCCTACCCCACGGGACACTAATCAGGAACCGTATTTACACCAGCAGTTGCAAACAGCACGGGACACTGAAGCTTGTCTTCTTCAGGGACAGGGATCACAGGACAAATCGCGTATCAGAGGCGTTCGAGCTGCGGCACCGGCTCCTGCAGAGAGATGGCAACCCAGCTGCAGCGGAGCGGGATGGAATAGGCACTCCAGCAACCGTCCGTGGGTGGAAGCTCCGCCACGTTACTGCCCTCCTCGGTACCATCAGAAGAACTCGGAAAGAGATTCTGATACCGTCAGGCTGAATTTTCAGAGACTGTCTCTTGCCGGACAAGACCGTGAACAAGAAATTCTGACGATTTTCAGGCAGCTTGGGGAGGGGAAGGACTGTACAGTTCATGATCTTGCACGGAAACTTAAAACTCAAAAGAAAGAGGTCAACCGTATTCTGTATAAACTCTTCAGAGAAGGCAAGTTGCACAAAGGTGGAGAGACGCTGCCGCTGTGGAGGATCGCCAGCCCGAGCGCAGGGAGAGAAAGAAGCCCCGCTGACCACAGTGGTGATCACACAGATCCGGCTTGTGAGAGCAGAGGGAGAGGGAGGAGCGCAGTTGGCTCGGGAGACGCCAATCCCGCGATGGCCGAGACGAAGGACAAAATCTGCAACTTCTTGTTCGGCGTGAAAGAAACAACGGCGCTCAACCTTGCCAAAAACATTGGGTTTTCGAGCGCCAGGGACGTTAACGCCTTTCTCAGCGCTCTGGAAAAGCTGGGAGATGTCCGCAAGCAGAACACAACGCCCCCTCGGTGGTCCCTGACAAACAGGAAGCGCGAGCGGATGCAGATGAGGCCGAAGGCCAGCGCGGTGCTGCAGACGGTGGGTTCCACACCTGAGCCAGGTTTCCCACCTTCCTCTCTTCCTCTGTTTCCCCATGAGATGATCATAGCTTCAGCAGCAGCGACAACATCGGAAGAAGAAAGGATGGAAAACGGGCGGCAGCCTCCGGGGCAGACGGATCAGAGCGACGGCAGTGACGCGGGAGGAGCCCCGCCTGAGGACACTAAACCCGACTTTGCCAGTTTGAATAACTATGATAACTACGAAAACGGGAGGTGGGCCACAGATGACATCCCAGATAATCTGAACACTATCAAAAAGCAGTCCGACGAGTCAGAATCCATCATGAATTACCAGTCTTCGCCCAGTTGTGCCGCCCAGTTTGAAACTGCTTTGCCAAGTACGCCCATAGAGAAACTGATGGCTTGTCAGGAGAAGAACCCAGTGAGTGGCCTTACCGAGTATTCCCAGTACACCTACCAGCACTGTGAGTTTGCCATGCTGGAGCAGAGCGGACCCTCTCACGAGCCACGGTAAGAACATTTCCTGCCTTTCCTGAGCTGTTGTTTTTGCTTTAGGTGATCCTGACTTCAACTAACTTCACTCTTCACTCAGCTTTGTGCTGAAGGGCCCGCTCATTCATGTTTATTTGATTTCAGAAGGATTAACCTCATTTAGTACTTGCAGCAGCTTAAAAAAAAACCAAAACAAGGCTAAAATTTACCCCCAGTTTTGGCAACCCTGCCCCTCGTTCTGAGCAGCGAAGGTGGGATTCATCTCTTCAGCTGGGTCCCAGCTGATGTAATCACTTGGCTTTCAGTTTGATTGTACAGGAATAAACGGGTATTTCTAAGCTGCCTCTGGAGATGCTCTCCCCCTGGGAGTGGTGTAAAGGGAGCCCAGAGCAAGGTGTTTGGGTGCAGATGTCTTGGGTTAACTGAGGTGAACCCACTCTGGACGTTTCTGTGGCGTAGCAGGCCAGAGCAGGCCGTGAGCAGAGCACGTCGCATGACTGGGGTTTGCGGAGTCGCTCTCGAGTTCTGCTTCCCCTCGCTAAATCCTGGCTGTTCCTGAGCACCAGCGAGACGGTGAAAAGCACCGTATGTGCCACACTGGAATATGTCAATAGATCCGCTAGACAGGAAAATTGGCCTAATTTCTAAAGATGGAGCCCAGGCTCTGGTTTTTCACATGTTTTTTCATAAGGAGGGATCTGAGTGGATTCAGCCCATCACCCCCCTCCTGCTCTGGTTTGACCCCTTCTGGCTGGCAGCAGGTTTCCCCTGAGCAGGGCAGGAGGACGGAAGAGAAGACGTGCTTGTTACGCGTTCACAGGGAGGAGAGAGACAGAAACATCCAAGGGAAGAGCTTTACATGCGGCAGCACCTCCCCGAGATGGTGTGAATGCCCTGGGTATCCAGGAGAAATGCCGGAGGGACGAGCGACCCCGAGTGACCCAAATGCAGAGGGAACAGCGCTTTTAAGCTTTCTTCATGCCTGTGCAGGAGACATAACCAAGCTGCCCTTTGCAGCCACTGCGCAGCTCTGGCGCTTGTGGAACAAGGCATTTCATCCTGTTCCTTCAGAACAAAACCTGGAGCTGCTCCTCTGTCACGGACACGGCTGGAAACGCGATTAAATGAGGCCCGAGGCAGAGCTGTCGGGGCACCCTGGGTGGTTTTGTCCTCTGCACGTGGCAGCCTGGGTCTCCCAGCATGGAGATAGCTGTGTCACTTGAATTCCAAGAGCAGCCTTATCTGCTCGTTGGAAAACCACAGCTTTGCCTCTCGATTCACCTCTTTGGTTTTCTCTTTCGAAGATTTACATTCCAGGCCGTGATCAACGGGCGCAGATTCCCACCGGCAGAAGCAGGGAGCAAAAAACTGGCTAAACAGGAAGCGGCAGCTAATGCGATGAGGGTCCTGATGAGCGAAGCAGAGGATGGGAGACAGGGTGGAATTAAATGCGAAGAGCCGTCTCCCTCCGACAACTCTGAACCGGAACCGGTGAGTCTGGGTTTCTTTACTTGCGAGGTTGGTCAAACAGTGTTTAGTCTGAGACCCGTTTCCGCCGTCTCCTTGCTGCAGCCTTTGCATCCGGAGCCAGAGCCGTCGTCTTCGTCAGCTCATCTCAGCCTGCTTCCCGGGAAGCACCCCATCAGCGTATTGATGGAGTACGGACAAAAATCAGGGCACGTGGTTGAATTCCAGCTGCTCTCTCAGGAAGGCCCACCTCATGATCCCAGGTATGGCCTGTTGTCTGGGGAGGATAGAACCCTTTCTTTGAAATCCTTCCTTTTCAGCACGCTACCCACATTCCTGGGCTCGTCACTGACCTAGCTGAGCGCTCCGTTTATCCAAGGAGTCTGGGCATGGCTCCTCCAAGTCACCTGCCTCCGGAAGGAGACCTAAACCAACTCCCTTTTTCAGAGAAAGGGTGCTGTTTCTTCTACCAGACCAGGAACAGGTTCCAGTCCTGTGCCTGACCTGGTGGTGCTCTCCTTGAGGGCCATTTAAATTGAGATAAGCCGGAAGGGTTTAACTTGGAGTGGGAGAAGGGGATAGTAAAGAGATCGAGACACCTATGCTTAACCCTTTTCATGTGCTGTAATGTCCTGTCAGGTTCAGCTACTGTGTGAAAATGGGTGACCAAATTTTCCCTGCTGTGGTAGGAAACAGCAAGAAGGGAGCAAAGCAAATGGCAGCAGAAGTTGCTGTGAAGATTCTTTCTGGAGAGTCTGTACCCCATGTCTTGCCTGAACAGGTACAGAGTTTCTTTGTAAGACCCAGGTGTTTGGGGTTGGGTTCCCTTTCCCCCTTTGTTTCCCATACCGCTGGATTTCACCCCACAACCTCTCGTGCTGGCTCTCAGAGGTTTGCTGAGCGCTCTTGGCCTGCGGTAATGCCAGCTCCTCCGTGTGTAACAGCCCCCTCCTGTCTTAACTCCGCTCCAGCCCGCGGCGAAGCCCCATGGTGAGCAGTCCACGCACGGCTCTGGGCTGCGGATCACCGCTCCGGAGGAACCCAAGGTGGCGAAAGCGAAGGCTGTTGGGGAGCTCCTGAAATACCTTAACGCCAATCCTGTCAGTGGCCTGCTGGAATACGCCCGCTCCAATGGGTTTGCCGCAGAGTTCAAGCTTATTGACCAGTCGGGACCTCCTCATGACCCCAAGTGAGTAGCTGCATCTGTCCAGGAGGAGCTTTGGCACTGTGGCTCCCGTTGAGCGTGGATTTTCCACTTGAATCTCGAGTGGAGAAAGGGCAGAGAACGCAAAATTCCTGATGCGGTTCAAGATGGCAGCAGGCCTCTGCCAAACCCTGTGTCCGGATGAGAACAAGCTACCCCCACTCCTCCTTTCTCCACAGAGAGCAGTTTAACACCCGACTGAAAGCGGGAGGTTTCTGCGTTTCTCAGAGGTGTGCCGCTGTCGTTACAGGTTTGTCTATCAGGCGAAGGTTGGAGGCCGTTGGTTCCCTGCTGTCACTGCACACAGCAAAAAGCAGGGCAAGCAGGAGGCGGCGGATGCCGCGCTCAGGGTCCTCATTGGGGAAACGGAGAAGATGGAGCGCCTGGAAGGGATGAACATCGCTGAGGTAACTCCTCTCCCTCCAGAGCTGGCACTGCTTTTGTCACCTTGCCTGTCCTGTGCCGTTCAGTCCAGAGCAATGCCTTCAAGATCAGCCGCCACATCTCTGCTCTCTGAAGGTGTAGATGAGCTGACGGTTGCCTGAAGTGGGTTAGATGTTTCCGCGGGGCACAGACGTGCTCTTCCCTCCTGCTGGCCTCTGCTTTAGGGCTAAATCATCATCAGATTCTTCCCCAGGCTTCTGAAATGTTCCTGGGCTGGAACAGGAACACGCTCATCTTTAACTCTGTCACTTTTTCTCCTCTTTCCAAATTCCTTCACGCTGTACTAAAAATGGTGTGTCAGCTCAACAGCTCATGCATCAGAGAAGAGCGGAGCTCTGGGTGCCTCAGGATGGCTGTCCCAAACCTGTGCTGCTTTAAATCACACGTAGAGTTGGGTGATCTCTTAAAAGCCGCCTTGCAGGCTGCGGAGCTGAGCGCAGCAGCTGGGGCTCTAAATAGAAAAGCCATCAGGGAGGATTTGTCAGTCAGCAGTGCTGGAGGAGGCAAGTGCCCGTCTGCAGCGGGAGTGACTCTGCAGTCTCCTCACAGGCAGCCGGAGAAGGAATTCCTCCGAAGCCGGTAACAGATTTCCTTGGCTGAGTCTCTGGGAACAGGCAAGCTGGGGTTTGTTCCTTGGCGGTGGGGGTTTCCCCTGGCAGTCTCGGGAGGCTGTTCCTCAGCCCGTTCCGCTTGCTGCCAGGGCGGCAGCTTGCTGCGCTCTCGTGCTGACATGCTCAGAGCAGAACTCAAGGTGTGGGGCAGGGTGTTCCCAGGAATACCCAAAAGAACTTCACCCACCCCTTGACATGATACTGTCCATGTACTCAACCCAAAATTGCACTGCCTGTAGCTGATGTTTTCTGTGTCCCTGATGGGTAGAATCATGGAATGGTTTGGGGTGGAAGGGACCTTAAAGATCATCCAGCCCCACC